GACATGAGGCAGGAAACAGCCTTCCAATGTTGTGTTCTAGCTTATTGCTAGCAAGAAGGAAGAAGAACCCTGAGAGTATGTTCAAGGTGCGTTCTGCAGAGGCATCACTCTACTGTAAGTGTCTGCCTCCACACATGCTTTCTAACACCTTTTCTGCATCAGCACTTGTTAGACTAGTCCCTTGGTTGGTTGAAAAAGCTGGTAGTAAACTATCTGCTTTTTCTGGTTTAGGTTTCTGCCAGGCAAGTAAATTCAATCAGATCACAATTAAAGTACCAGAGACAGGCGTGGGAGAAAGGAAAGCAGCACTTTTCCCATTCAGCTGTGGGGAGCTGCTAGATTAATTCACACTGACTTATGTGACTGTCCTGTATGTGTTTCCTGTCACTTTTTTCTTTATAGAAGAAGTTTGGTTTAACGAGCTTCCAAGTTAAGTTCAAAATGACTGTCAGTTCAATCCCTTATATCTACCCTTGATGTGAAGAATGTTTTGGTTCAACTGGATCTTAGATATCACAGATTAAATCAGGCAGAAACAAGCCTGGTCCAGACCACGGTTATGAAGTGACACAACTTTTCTCGCATCCCTTTTTAAAATTATACTTTTAGTTAGCCAAAGGAACTTTATTTTGACAGATCGCACAGTAGCAGCTGTACCTCTTCAAATATATTTTTAGGTTCAGAGAAAAGCTTGTATTTAATTTCTGCTGGGTGACTACACCACCAAAAGCTTTCAAAACCCAAAGTTTCATTGGGCACCGGCAGAGATTTATGTAGATAGCACGTATACATACATTTGAATTAATGTTTTGGGAGCTCTAACCTCCCCCTCAATTTTTAGCCCACATCTTAACTCTGGCCCTGCCTTAACTATTTTACATGTGACTTAACCATCTCATGTTTAGGTAAGCCTAAGCAGCATGCGTTTCGCAACATGCTTCGGCATTGCAGGTGGAGCGCACCGCAACATCCCAGTTCTTCTGGCCACTTAGCTAGCAGGCTTCGCTCACCCTACCTGGTAGTCGCCGCCATGGCACTCCGCTCCCCCATAGTTGCCCGGCTGCTGCGGACACCAATAACGTCTGTCTCTTGGCAGAGACCTCCCTACCCTTGGACGGGGCGACGTCTCAGAGGAGCCGCGGAGATTCCGAAGAAGCGCACACCCCTCCAGACACCTGCTTGTGGGGAACCTGATGCGCCCGCAGCACCTGGCACTCGCGCAAAGGCGGCGGGGCAATTCCCCACAAACTTCTTGTGCCCAAATCACTGCTTAAGGCACAGACCCCAACCGGACCCGCTCCCCCGCACGCCCCAACCCCAACACCGCGCCCACTGCCTCCGCGGGTCCCAAAGCCCGCCGGGGGGGATGGGGGGGGTGCCCGCACCCCTTCCAGGGGCAACCTACCGAGACCGCGCTCCCACCTCCCTGCGGGAAAACCCACCGGCTC